AAGAAACAAAATAAATGTGTGTTGATTTGTTTTTATTTTTGTTATGATAGTAACTTTTGGATATAATTTTCAATAAGTGCAAGAATATTAATGACATTTACTATAGCAGAGAAGGTCACAGAATGAAGGTATATAAAGTGTATTACATAATATAAGTACATTTGATGAGATTAGCTGAAGCCTTTCTGGAGATGCTGAGATTCAAATAGGCTGGTCAATAAGATAATGAGATTCAAATCATTTGGTCAATGAAATCTAAATTTATGCTACATTACATTTTTAAGAATAATTGACAAGGCTCACAGGCTATGGTTCTCTTTGGGTAAATAAATAATGAATTTATGAAAACTCTTGAATGGCAGAGCCCAGCTCTGAACCTTTGGTTCTACTGGACAGTGTCTAGCATATGGGCTAATGGATAATAAATTGAATGGATAATGTGAACACTGAAGAAGCACCATACTGGTGTCCTACCCAATCCCTTCTACTATGATACTAGCTTTTTACACTAAATGTGACCAGATTCAAGGTCACCAAACTATTGGGGTGCAAGGTGTGTGTGTGTGTGTGTTCATGGTGTCGTCTCAAAAGAATTCACTCAGACTGTCTACAAATCAAGCAAAGAATTTATTCTGGGGAACACAGCAAGCAGACACCTCCTTAAGGGAGGTCAGAGTCCCTTAAAGGAGATGGCCCCACAAGGGAGATGCCCACTAGCCAAGAGAAGCTAGGAATTCTTATAGAGGAAATGTGCCCTGTGGGTGGGGAGATGAGGTAATCACCGATGTGTAGGCAAGGGGCCATAGCTCAGAGTTTTGTGCATATCTAGGCACATGATTATTCCATTGTTCAGCCCATTTGCCTAGGGCAGAGGGGCCCCTGTTAGTTTTCTTATTTGAGGAAATAGGATCAGAAGAGAGACATGAAAACTAGAAAACAAGAAAGTTTAAAAAGCTAAGATGCAGCATAATGACATAATTTGACAAAAATAATGGAAGAGTGAAAAAAGTATGAAAAGAAAAACAGAAATGCATTTTAAAAATGAGAGATTTGAGATAAAGTAAAAAAAAAAACAGGCACAAAAAAAGAATAAAACCCCCAAATTGGACCCTGTGAGACCAAATACAATAAAATGGTGGTGTACTGTGAGCCAGAAACACAACAAAGATTAAAACAATGTTTATTTTTCTTAGCCTTAATGACAGCAAAGGGCCTTATGGCTTTCTTAGACTGTTCCTTCCAAAAGTTTTGATTTCTTTTCATCTCCACATGGCCTTAGCCTGTGACCACCTTTCACCCTAATCACTATTGCTGTGATGGATTAGTCATTCCGAAACCTCTCTGGTACAAAAATGAGTTTGGTTGTCACAGGGGATTTTTGAGTGAATGATCAAATATTTTTAGATAGCAAGGGAAATAGAGAAATCAGCATATTTTAAAAAAATATGCGTATAGATAACATGTATTCCAATCTCCCTACTAAGGCTCTTGTATTACACAGTTAGGGAGAGGGCCTGTATTTGAAGATACATCAGTTGGGCTGAAGTAGGTTAAAGCAATGAGATTTATCTGCATGAACCTTGGAAGCTTACTAGGTTGAATAAATAGTTAACAAATGAATTAACATTGATGTGAATATTTCAAGAAGTAATAATAACAGTAATAATAATAATAGCTAGCATTTATACAACAGATTTTCAAAACCATTTTATTCAAAGCTGTGAGATGGCTTTGTGATGAATAAAACCTGGTTCATAGCATTCTATATGTTTATAGAATATTTTTGGTCTAAAAACTCATAATTTTAGGGTTAGAAAATAAATTGAATGTCATCTTGCCTAAATGAAATACCCTCTAAATGTCCCATTTACCTTTTGAAGAATTCCAGTGATGAGGAAGCCACTACCTTCTAAGCAGAAGCATAACTTGTAATTTTTCCACCTGAGACAAAAAATAGTTGGGGAAGGGAGTGTTGCAGAATACTAGCTGGGGGTGTGGGATGGAGTCTGACAGAGCACACAGAGAAGAATTTGGCCATAGGGAGGCTGGACTCATTGTTTTCTGTCCTTTAATCCAAGGGAAAGGTGGTGCAGAGGATAGATATCTGTACCTGGAGTCAGAAAGTTCTAGAGTTCCAAACTGGCCTCCAACATTTACTGGCTGTGTGATGCTCGGCAAGTCACTTAATTTCTTTTTGCCTCAGTTTCATCATCTGTAAAATAATAATACTAATAGCACCTGCATCCTAGGGTTGTGAGGATAAAAGGAGATAACATTTGTAAAGTGCTTTGCTAGTATTATATATACATACATATATATATATATATGTATGTATATATATATATATATTATTGTTATGATGCTGTTCACTTTTTATACATATTTATTATTGTTGTTGTTATGCTGTCCGCTTTTCTTCTCCTAGGGCCTGTCTTTCTCTTCAGCCCTTTTGGAAGCTGAGATATGTAGATGCAATCTCTGTTCACCTAGTGTCATCCATAGGGACAAAGCTTTGGTGCCTTTATCTAGTTAAGAATCTACTCCTAACGCACTTGGTTTCACTTTGATTAGCTCTAATTCTTAGGAAGTTTCCCCTTACATCCAGCCTCAGTGCAAGTTTGTAGGGTCATAGGACAATAGAATTAAAGCCATGGGTGTTTTTTTTTTAGAAGCCTTTGAGTCCAACTCTCTTGTTTTACAGATGAGAAAACTAAGACAGAATTTGTGATTTGCACTGGATCACACAGCTACAAAACATCTGGGGGGAAATTTGAATCTAGGAATTCAAATTCAATGTTCTTTCCATTATACCTCCCAGCCATTGCTCTTAGTTTCTTCCCTCTGGGGTCCAGCAGAACAAGGCTAACCCCAATTCCATGTGGCCTTTAGAATACTTGGACATGCCTATCATGACCTCTCTAATTCTTATTAGATGGTGGGAGTTGAGCTCAAACTTGAAGCAAGCGGTGGAAGCCTGGAGGTGGTGAAGAGAGAGAGAATTCCATATATGTTGGACAGCCAGAGAAAATTCATAGACATGAAATAGAGGGTCTTGTGTGAGGAGTAATAGCAAGGAAGTCAGTATGCCTAGATTGCAGATTATAGGGAGAGCAATTCCTAGCACACAGTAAGTGCTTAATATTTACTTTTTGACTAACTGGCTGACTGATTACTAACGTCATTGAAGAATGAAATAGCCTATAAGCTTGGAAAGGGTGTTAACCACTATATTATAACATATCGTGCATAGAATATAAGTGAAATAGGCATTCCATATAATTGGTGAGGTCATGCAGGCCACCTGTGCTGCCTATAATACATCCTCTTTATATTTTCACCTGTTGAAATGCTTCTCTTCCTTCAAAGCACAACTCAGATATCATCCTTTAAATGAAATCTTGCAGGGTCCTTCCAACTGAAATTTTATCATATAACATTTTAGATCTCTTTTTTGTACTTACCACATTCTACCCAGTTTCATATATTTTGCATGCATATTATTCCTTGAGAGCTCTTGAGAGCAGGGACTGTGGTGTTTTTGTGTTTATCTCCATATTCCTGCCCCTTAATCAGAGATGTGTTGCCCCTAACACTTCCCAATGAGGCCTGAACCACATTAAAATGTAATTGGGAAAAATTTAACCAAATAAGTTTAGAAGTGCAATAAAACATAAAAGGTTACATTTTAAAACTAAATCAATATGCAGTCTGCCTGCATTATGTATGCATTAGTATGTATGTTTGCATTAGAATGCATTAGTCTTCAAAAGTCATTATTTGCTCTATGATACCACCTGTTCTATAGTGTTACACTGATGGGTTTTGTCATCATGGCCTTCAGGAAGTAACTGGATTGAAAAGTTGAGTACCTTTCCATGGTGCAAGTCACAGACTGATTCTACTTTCTAAGGACTAACTTAGGATGGAAGGAGTTGTCAACAGTAGCCTGGCCACCTCATCTTTAATTCTTTGACTGTGGAAACCCATGTAACAAGGAAAAGTACAAAATGCCCCTTAATCTTAGATAGTCTCTCTCAGGTTTTGCCAGTGACAGTGGCAGAAGAGATAAAAGAGGGGCAGAAGGTAGTGAGGATTACAGAGGTTTTGGACTGCCTAGAAACTTTAACTTAGGCTTTCATTTTTGTTGTTGCTGTTCCAGTTGTATCTGACTCTTCATGACCCCATTTGGAGCTTTCTTGGCAAAGATACTGGAGTGGTTTGCCATTTCCTTCTCCAGATCATTTTACAGAGGAGGAACTGAGGTCAACAGGGTTAAGTGACTTGCCCAGCGTCATACAGCTAGTAAGTGTCTGAGGCCAGATGTGAACTTGGGAAGATGAGTCTATCCACTGCACCATCTAGATGCCCCCTGGCTTTCTCACAATCTGTGCATAATAAATATTTTTTGAATTGATGTTCAAAATGCCAGAATTGTTACTAATGGCTTCTACAAACAGCAATCAAAGCCACAATTTAAAAAAAATTATAGTCTATAGTGAGAAAAGCACCCATCTGTAGATATTGTTTCAGTAGCACCTGCTTATTAATTATCACCATTTCAGCGTCAACATGAAAGACTTGCTATCTACATGTCTTTCATATATGTATATTTGTATATATACATATATATATTTATATATAAGTAGACACAGAAAAATTTAATTTCTCAACATTCTATCAAAACATTATTATATTCTTGCTTTCTCAATGGAGAAAGGGGGATATGAATGCAAACCTTAAAATAAAATAGAAATTTTAAAAACACTGTTATGTGTATATATATCTACAGCTATATGTGTGTGTTGCTGACTCTCAACTAAGAAAACCTTGCTTTCACATTTTCATCTATTCTCTTATAATCATAAAAAGGATTTTAAAAGCTATATTGGGGAAAATAAAAGATTAAATAAAGGGTAAGACTGCTGCCTGGGATGGATTGCGTAGTGATAATTTCCTAACTCTTATTTTGCTTCTGTTTTTCAGCAAAAAAAAAGAATCTTGGGACTGGAAAGGACAGAACAAAAATAGCTCATAAGAAGTTGATAGCAAGGAAGAGACATAGCAAAAAAGCACTTAGCTGCCCTTGATGAGCTCAAGTCACACAGGCCAGATGAATAGAGACAGGTACCAAAAGACTGGCAGATGTGATTGTTAAGCCACTGTTTGTGACCTTTAAAAGATCACATACAAGGGCAAAGATATTTCAGGATCAGAGAAGGCAAATGTCTTGATTTTTTTGACAGAAGGAAGTTGCCTGGACCAGCCAAGATGGTAAAATAAAGGTAATACGGCTGAAGTCTCACCCACAACTACTCCACAAAGATCTAGATGATAAACCAGAAGAAGTAGTAATGGGGAAATCCAATGAAAAACATGGCTTATTTTTTCATTTTTCCTAGGTCATCAAGGAGAGACAAATAAAGAGGTCTACAGACACTGGGGATGGAACATACTGCCTGGAGAGACACTAGGGTATTCTTTAAGACCTCCCTCTCCTCCTCATCTCACATCATTCAGATGCCCCCCTCCACTATCTGCTCCTTCATGTCTCAGATGAAGAGGTAGCACTTCTTGCCAAGGGTAACCCCTTGTACAAATAATTCCATTCCATTTTGTCTTCTCCAGGACATTGCCTTCTCTATCATCTCTTCAATCTTTTTAGATGATAGGGAAGCATCCAGCAGAGAGGAAGGTTGAGAAGTGAAAGGAGAGCACACGGAAGCAGCTAGTATGGATGGTTTTCTCAAGGAGCTAATTTTAGAAGAAAAGAATATTAGATGATAGACAGTAGGGATAGTTTTTTTTTAAGGATGTGGGATACAGTTTGTAAGCATGGGGGAGAGAGAGAGAGAGAGAGAGAGAGAGAGAGAGAGAGAGAGAGGAGAGAGAGAGAGAGAGAGAGAGAGAGAGAGAGAGAGAGAAAGAGTTAAAGTTAGAGATTATTTAACCTAAGTTTTCACTGCAGTCATTCAGCACTGTTTTGTGATTTTTCTCAATCTCTATTTAGCAACACATGAATAGGAGTCCAAGGTTGGGGGCAAGATGGCACAGGATCAAAGGATTTGAGGTTGGAGGATAGTTTTATGTGAACCAGTTGAGACGGTTTACCAAGGAGCTGAGGTAGTGAATGAAAGAGAGTGTAGCACTGCAGGGGTTGATAGTTGGGGAAAGAACTGAAGGTGAAGCTATGGATAAAGAAAAGTGTCAGGGGTCATAAGGCAGAGAGAAATATAGAATGGTAAGAGATTAGGGTTGGATAAAGTAATTTTGGAGCTCATGAACATGAATGAGTGAAATATGTGTGTAATGACAAGATAAGAGTATGGACAGCTCTGTGTGTAGCTGAAGTACAATTGAGGAGCAGGTCATGAGAACTGAGTGGATTTAGGAAACCAAATGTTTGGGTAGTTGAGAGAACATCAATATGGTATGTTCAAGTCCCTAAAGTGTGAGGGCAGGAGTTGTAGTTGAAAGACTGTGAACCAAGCACTGTACTCACTGAGGAAGTATGGAGATTATTTTGAGAGTCAATAGACAATAGCCACCAAAATCTATTCCTAATCTGTAAAATGGGACCAATACTTCAGGGTTTATTATGAGAAATTAAATGTGTACATAACACTTTGCAAATCAGAAGGCATGATATAAATGTAAGTTATGAACAGCACCATGGAGCATTGGAAAAAAACACCAAAAATAATAGATCTGTATTCAAATCCCAGTTTGGTGATTCACTATATGACTTTGGACAAATTACTTATCTTCCCGAAGCCAGTTACCTCATTTATATGTAATAATTCTGGTACTACTTTCTTCATTTCTTTTTGGAAAGCATTTTGTAAATCATATCATATAGTGATATATAAACATGAACTATTAAATTGGACAACAGAGAGACAGCCTGTGGGTTGCATTTGTAACCGTTAAAAAGACCTAAAGTAAATGAAAGAATAAAGTATTTATTAAGCACTTACTATGTGCAAAGCACTGTGCTAAGTGCCAGGAATACAAATAGAAAAGATAAGCCTTGCTCTCAGGTTCACATGTTAAAGGGGGAGACAACACATGTGGAAAGTTTCAGCTGCAAGCCAAATGGAAAAATTCTATGATCTTAAGAGTACAACAGTAAAGCAGTTGTTAATATCTCTTTTTAAATGCTACTTCCATTTAGAAAATCATATGATTTCTGATGTTAAACCATTTGGCTATTTTAAAGATTTTGATCACAAGAACTTCCTTTTCTGGACTTTTCACTAGCCAGTGATTGCTGTCTGCATTTTCTAAGGGGGTTACTTCCTGAGATGACGGGTGTAGGCAGTGGGCTAAAACCATTGCTATTCCCAAGGCTCTTGGATTCAAGGTCCTAGGCTGTTTCTATCAGGGTCTGAGGAGAGATGGTGGTCACAGTCATGGTAGTTTGATTTTTCTGACATATGCTACTGTCTATCTATCTCTCAGGGTTTCTTGCTGCTTTAGCTTGCTTACCCTGTGGGTAGCAGTTGGTTAGCAGTTGGTAGAGATGGCTGACCCCTACTCCACAGGAACTGCTTCCCGGGATGATGACTGCAAGGGCTAGACTGGAAACAGAGCCAATGGTCTGGTATGATATCATTCCCAGGGATCTTGGGTCTACATACCTATTTGTAACAGTTGACCAGCAGTTGTTGCTTATAATAAGGAAGAATGTGGACTTCTTTTCCGTAATGATTTCTCCCCTAAATGATGGCTTCAGTGGCTGGATTAGAAGAAAGTCTGGTGGTTTGAGGGATACTGCCATTCCTAAGGTTCTTGGGTTCATGGTCTTAGGCTTTCTTGATCAGTGCCAGAGTAGTGGTGGTGGTTTGACTCACCTGGCACATGGTACCTCCTGAAGGCAAGCCTAGGTGAAGGTCTTCAGCACACTGAGTGGACTGTCTGTGGAGAATTTGCACAAGAAGAAGGAAACAGGTCACATAGGGTAAGAAGACATGGATAGGTTATGGCTTCCTCCACTGCAGAGTATATGCACATCAATGAGATGACAGAACTATTGAAATATCAAAAGATATTGTAAGTAATATAGTGAATAAGTGAGTGCTTGGTAAGGATTTGTTGATTTTACTTTGGAACCATGGAGGTTGGTGCAACTGATTGTTAATGGTTGCTCATTATTTAACAAATTATGTACTAACTGAATGGGGTGAGCCAATCTCTTCCATAGCTTGGAACTTTCACTTTGAGTGCTCCTTTAGGCATCCAGGAATTTAAGTTGGTGTCCAACGATATGATAATGGGTGTGAGCTTATTCAAGTAATAGTCTTTCCGCAGTGCCCCTGGTATAGAAAATACTTGCTAGTATTCATTCCACTACAAAAAACTATGCCTGTTCCTGTGATGAAAGTGATGGACAGAATACAGAAAAGAGGGTAGAGGGAATACAAGCTCTGCCAGAAGGGGCAGCAGTGGTTTAGCCCCTATAGATGTTAAGATGGTTACATTTTATTTCCAATTTCCTGTTAATAAATTTTATTTAGTGTACGTGCCAAGTAAATGATTTCTTTGGGGACTGTGCTGAGAGGAAAGCAAGATTGGGTTCCAAATGGTGGGGGCATGAGCCAAAGAAATTTATGAGGTTTTGGGAGGAAATTGTATCATACTCCTAAGACAGAATGCAGAACCTAGAAAACATGAGGGAGTCACTGTGAGGTTATTTGCACGAGAACGCTTTGAGAGAACTATTGCTGCTGATACCTCAAGCGGCACTTGGTGTCTTGCACTGAGAGAATAACCTCATGGGACCTTGTGGAAAACCATACCAATCCCTTATATTCAGCAACATGTCACTGTGGCACCCAAATTGTCTTTGGGTGGTGGTGGTGGTGGGCAAATACTTCGTATGAGAGTTGGTTCTTTGATAGTTCAACTTCGAAGTGTGTGTGTGTGTGTGTGTGTGTGTGTGTGTGTGTGTGTGTGTATTTTTAGTTTAAGGATATTTTCTTTTGGTCAAAATTTTTAAAATTCTACTGAAAAATACTTTAAAATTTTGATATTTCTATTCACTAGAATAATTTGCTTTCCAGTTTAGTATTTAATTCTCCCCTTCAGCATTTCCTTTCTTCTGGCCAACTCAGTGAGTGTGTCCTATAGGACTTCAAATGCAAGAAATGCATGCGATATGCAAATGTAGAGACATCTCCACTCCAAATGTTCATGTGGACTATTTGTGTCTGGCCTGTTGTAGGGCCTTCTGAGCTCATATTGGTCTGATCAGCCATAGTTGGACACACTGTACCTTGACCCCAACATAGTGATGTCATTTTGGTCCTCTTTGAGAATGAAGGACAAAACCAGTATCTACAACTCCATGCGATTATCTATAGTTGTACTGTTTGGTTGTTAATTACTACTCTTTAGAGCTAGTGGTAGCAATCTGCTATTGATTATTGTTGTCCAATTGCATGCACACTGCATTGATCATATTGCCATTGGAAATATTATTTATATTTATGTGTATGCTTTACTGATTATTGTTATTGCATGGTACTGGGTGTTTAAGTTCTTGCAATTTATGTTATTGCTTTGCTGAATGCAATTTTAATTAAAATTTGAGCAAAATGGAGATAGTATAGTAAGGAGCATAGAAATACACAGATATAGTTTAACTCTATTTATAGATGATATATAGAATAAGAAATGAGGACACAATAGGAGCACTGAATTTCTATATGGCTTTTTGAAAATGTGAAGACATGACTAACACATATATGGAGTCAGAAAAGGCCCAGTTTGTTTTCCGGAAACATGTCAGAAATAGTCCATTATCCAGAAGTTCCTGACGAGATTAGTGTTAGGGAAGAATACCTGGATGCTAATCATTAAATCTTCCTTTGAAGTCTTACTTAGGCAGTTTGAAACTATAATGGCTTGATGTTTGTCTGTACATATAGTGGAGCAGTTGATTAACAAATGTGTAGAAAAATAGTACCCCCAGATGAGAATGGGTTTAGAGTTTTCTTAAAATGTAGGTATTACTGTCCAAGCTAATACGTTTCTCAGGAACAGAACCATGTATTTCTGAGGAAGAGTAACAGAAATCTTGCATTTTAAATTTTGTGTGGGATAGCATTAGCAAGTAATGGATGTGGAAAAAAAAGCTAAACTTCTGGAAAGCATTAAAGGACCAGTTTTAGGACTTGACGAGCATAGTCTGAAGGCCACATATTCTGAAATCATATGGCAGGAATGCCTGTGAAAGCTAAAATTTCAGCTTGGCAGTAGTGAGGCAGTTCCATCTGTGTACACTAAGATACTCATTGGTATTTTTTAAAAGTCAGTCAACAAACCTTTATTAAGTACTTACTTTGTTCCAGGCGCCATGATAAGTGCTGGGAATACAAATGTAAGCAGAAAGAAAGGTGACCCCTGCCCTTAAGAGGCTTGAATTCTAAGGCGATGAGGGATAACACATGAATGGGAGCTGAAAACCTGTTGCAAAAGGGGAAGAAAGAGGTTTTTATAGAAAGTCCTGTGGAGATGTCAGTAGTGTCTCCTGGGCAGCAATGAAGACATTGTCGGCCTGGGCCTCCTCTTTAAATTGGAGGTTCTGGGAGGAACCAGCCAACCAGAAGGTGAGGCCTCCGGGAGGGAGCATGAAGGGAGGGTATTTCTGATGTGAGAAGTATCCCTGGGATGCAGTGAGTTTCCAGGGGGAAGAGGTTCCTTTGGCTTGTAACACAGGTAACAAAGTCCTGTGGAGATGAGTCAGTATTGTAGAAATGTAGAGAAGTGCTCTCATTTTTCAT